ACTGAATTATCAGGGAAATTGTTGGGCGTTTTTTGAGATTACATGATAAAATGAAGAAGAAAATAAGAATAGAAACTATTGCAAAGAAACTGAATCTACTTTGGGATAAATTTAATTTTCCTGTCATATCAATGCAACATGTCCACCCAAAAATTGCAAATCTAATTGATGCATATGTGAAATACAGAGAGAAAAAGATGAGAGATTTCTGGAGGAATAACAAGCCTCTTTGATATAACCAAAACTGATGTAAATTGGTTGTCCTCTGAAGACAAACAACTTTACCTACAGCAGATTGAATATCATGGTACTGTTGGATACACAACTGCAAAGCTTGCACCAGTCTCAACAATTCATCCGTCTAAACGCCCTAAAGTTATGCAATCTTCAGTTGAGAAACAAGTCATGGTAACTTTAGATGAATCTGTGCAAGAAACTGATGCTGAAATATCACCTGGTGATGATTTTATACCTGAAGTGGAAATAAAGAGGAAAAAATATCAAAAAACCAAGGCTGCTGCAAATCATCTGACCAAATATTCTCTATCTACTAGACAATCATCCAGAGTCTAGCTAGTATTAGTCTAGTCTAGCTGCTATAGTCTAGTCTAGCTGCTGAATGTTCTGCTAAGTTACCCACACAATCACAAACTGGAATATGGAAAAGAGTAGTCAGAGATGGAATTAGAAAGGCTGCTAAAATGAAACGCATTCTTCAGCTGGAAAATGATTTCTGTTTGCATTTGATGGAAAGAAACTGTCATCTAAAGAATATGAAGTTGTTTGCTTGCAAAGTCCTTCAAGGAAATTGAATTTAGGTATCATCATATGTGAATCTGGTTCGGCTGCAAACAAATTTTCTGGTTTGAAGAAGCTCTTAGATGACTTCGATGCATGGAAGAGTATTAAAATAATTGTGTGTAATATAACAGCAGTCAACACTGGTAGCAGAAATGGAATAATCGCTCGGCTTTATAAAGGATTTGAAAGAAATTGTATTATAAGACCGCAGTACATTGGCTGTCAACACCACATCCTTGAATTGCTTCCTCGACATTTACTTGATTTTTGTGTTCCAAGAGTCTCACAGAAACCAGATATAAACTATGAGTTTGTTGATAACATTTGCAGTCAGTATGAGAACCTTCAGATAAAATATACAGGTAAAGTTGAAGTACCTGCTTCTGAAAATGCTGGATGGAGGAGTGATTTCAAGTTTCTATTCGAACGTTGCGAGGCTTACAAAGTGAACAAAAAATGCGCTAAATTTCAAAAAATCAAGTGGCAAAAACTTCCTTCACTTCATAATGCAAGATGGAACTCTAAAGCAACATATGCTCTACTAGCTTATTTTCTTCTGGAAGAACATCGTCAGCAGCTGAGCAGTATCTGCAACTTTATATCAACTGTATGGGCGTCAGCCAATACAGTTGATATAAAAATTCATTGTAATTCTTATACATTGGTTCTCTAATCAGCATTTTACTAAACACAGTTTTGAAGAATTGCATTCTGCTGTTTCATTTGATTGCCAGAAAGCAACAAAGTGTTTCTAAACGCATTGGGTAAATCAGCCTTCGGTCATTGACAATCCACGATCAAACATCGTATCTGAAAGAGCTGTCAAAATAATGGAAGATATTTACACTACCTGCAAAAGTGACAAGTACCTTAATGCTAAATTCTTAAACTCAAATTTACAATTGTAAACGCTCAACAGTGACTAAAGTAAGTATTCATATGGATGTTTAAAACTTCTGTTTTACAATATATAACTTGTGTGAATTAAGCATTGTAGCTATTTTTTTAAGGGTACGCCAGTCATATTTACTATATTTAGATAAAAGTTCATCATTTGCCACCCCAGGAATCTTGATTGATATATATATATATATATATATATATATATATATATATATATATATATATATATATATATATATATATATATATATATATATATATATATATATATATGTATATATATATATATATATATATAAATATATATATATATATACATATATATATATATATTATATATATATATATATATATATATATATATATATATATATTATATATATATATATATATATATATACATATATTTATATATATATATATATATATATATATATACATATATATATAATATATATATATATATATATATATATATATATATATATATATATATATATATATATATATATATATATATATGTATGTATATGTATATATATATATATATATATACATATACATGTATATGTATATATATATATATATACTATATTTAGATAAAAGTTCATCATTTGCCACCCCAGGAATCTTGATTGATATATATATATATATATATATATATATATATATATATATATATATATATATATATATATATATATATATATATATATATATATATATATATATATATATATATATTGATATAGTTCAGAGAACATTAAAAAACAACAAAGAATACAAGATTATATACCCTCCAAGAAAGCGCCCAACAAACAATGATGAGGCAATCATACCAGCATAATATCCTACAACAATAAACAAGTTGTTTTTTTTCATATTGATATCATGTAAATTCTTAAAACTTAAAAGTACAAAAAAATAGACTCACGCCAGCAATATGTATTAACAAAAAAAAATTTGTTGTTTTGCCATTATACTTCTGGTTGAGAGGTTAATATAAACATTATGAGCATGTTTTTTCCATTGTAAAAATATCTGATTTGAATAATGAATGTAATTGCAACAGAGTTTTTTAAACAATTTACATTATTACACAATTAGATTGGGTTTTTCCACTTTTGACAAAATAAAAATTGTAATTAAACAAAGAATATCGCTTTTCTAGTTTTATTATTATTTTATTTACTGTAAAATTATATTTATTTGCACTATTTCTTACTAAATTGGAAAAAAAAAAAAAAAAAGTATTTTAGTTTTAATATTTTATTGGCAGAACTTGTTTTTATGAAATATCAGGATAATTATTTTAATTTATAGATCTTATATTTATAGTACTTATATTTGTTTTGTTTAGAAAATAAAATCAATACATGTTAGACTTTTAAAGCGCTTATTTATTGATAGAGTCTGAAAACTTTATTAGGGGTCATCCATAAAGTACAACATGCTAAATTAACACAACACAACACGCTGAATTTAACTTTTGACCAGAAGTATAATCATTTGTTTGCTTACGCAAAGATTTTATTCAACACAAAGTGCTTTTGAATTTTAATTACTTTGAATTTCTGCGTGCAACAACATCCTACTTCTATCTTAAAGTTAAATTTAGTGTGATTTATTTAATGGATAAAGTACAATTTACCTATAAGCTACTTAAAGAGTATATTTACTCAATGCTCAAAGACATTTATTTAGCCATAGAAATGTTTCTTTTTATATCTTTTATGTTCTTAATACATAATTATTTCATAACACATAAATATTACATATAATAATATAATATATTATAAATAATCATAACACATAAATATTCATAACACATATATAATAATACATATATAATATGTATGTATATATAATATATATGTATATATATATAATATATATACATAACACATATATAATAATATAAATATTATAAATATTCATAATACATAAATATTAATTAGAAATTGCAAATAAAATAAGAAAAACACAATACCATTTTATATTTTCATTTTCTTTATAGCAGTATCAATAATAAATATTTTTTATAAATAGACAAATTTTTTTAGAAATTCATTTTAAAAAGAAATTTATTGATCAAGAGAATTTTAGTCTTTCAAAATTCGCTTATTCAAATAATCTTGCATATGAAACATGAATTTTTGAAAAATATTAAAAAATTTTAAATTAAACTCGCTTACAATAATTATAAATTTAACTGAATACAAAACTGCAACGATGTCTTTAATACACAGTAGGGAGGGTCATTTAGATCAGAATTAGACAACAGTGCAAGTGAGGAAGAAAATTTTATTTAAATCGTAAACATTTTTAATTGTTTAATATTTCTTGTAAAGGCATATTTTTCTTTCTTTAAAACAGTTTGAAAAGTAGAAACATAGTATTGAAAACATTATACAAGTGAAAAAAAACTAAATTTTCATTCTCTACACCAATGACCTGGCAGAACATACTGAAACTTCTAAAATAATTTCTGATGATACTAAACACTTTTCTTGTTGATCTGCAGGATTATCTACGCTTGGTATTTGAGTGGTCAAACAGTTGGTTACTTAAGTTAAATATTTCAAAATACTACAATATTTATTACAGTCAAACCAAGCCTTGTTACAATTACTTTCTGCAAAATAAAAAAGAAATAAATCGATGTCTCAGAAGCTCTACTAAAGAGCGTGATTCAAGAATCATTTTTATATCTAAGCTCAAATGGAACACACATATTCAAACAGTGGTCTCTAAAACCTTACAAATTTATAGTAAACTAAAAAAGACATTCACTTTCATTGATAAAAATATAGCTCTTAAATTATATAAAGTGTTTTTAAATCCAAATTATATAAAGTGTTTATAAGACCACACCTTGAAAATGGAGTATGACTTTGAATATGGAGTGATACCGTGAATATGGAGTGAAATTATATAAAGTGTTTATAAGACCAAACTATATAAAATGTTTGTAAAACCACACCTTGAATATGGAGTGATAGCGTGAATATGGAGTGAAATTATATAAAGTGTTTATAAGACCAAACTATATAAAGTGTTTTAAAACCACACCATGAATATGGAGTGTATATTTGGGCTCCTTATTTAAAAACTGATAAAGCCTTGGTCAAATCCGTTCAACGCAAAGCAAAAAAATGGGCTTCTAGCTTTTAGTACTACTAAAAGTAATATCGTAGTACTACTAAAAGTAATGTTGTAGTAATACTAAAAGTAATATCGTAGTACTACTAAAAGTAATATCGTATAACTACTAAAAGTAATATCGTAGTAGTACTTAAAGTCATATTGTAGTAGTACTAAAAGTAATATCGTAGTAGTACTAAAAGTCATATTGTAGAAGTACTAAAAGTAATATCGTAGTAGTTCTAAAAGTAATATCGTAGTAGTACTAAAAGTCATATTGTAGAAGTACTAAAAGTAATATCGTAGTAGTTCTAAAAGTCATATTGTAGTCGTACTAAAATTAATATCGTAGTAGTACTAAAAGTAATATCATAGTGGTATTAAAAGTAATAGATTATTATGAGATATTATGCAAATATGTGGAAAAAAAACAATAACAAACTAATGTACATAAGTAACAGTTTTGTACAACTGCAACTCGCCTTACTGCAATTCAGCAGGCAGTTGGGTGAGAAAAGAAAAAAAAAAAAAATTTAAGCGACTAAATTTTTTTGCGTTAATTCAAGCCTTGTAATAATTTTAGCATTGATCAATAATGCAAATAATATTTTAGGCATTGATGATGTCAAAATGATGGACTCGGTATTTATGAAGATACTGATATAGCTGATGCTTAGAATATAAAATATAAAAAATGTCAAATTAACAATAAGTTTTATAACTCTTAGACACAAATAAGGTGCAAAAACATGCTGACTAATAACAACATTATTATATAAGTAAAAACTATTAAAACAAACCACTCTCTTTTTGATTATACCCAAAGCTCTAAAAAAAAAAAATTATTATGATAAATACAGTAATAAAAAAGAAAGAAAAAAGAATTAAGTTTCATTAAAAAATCAGAATTGACACATTTTCCTTTCTCTTTGTTCACTGAACAAAGCTTTAGCTTTAAATTTAGACACTTAGACAAGCATTTAGAAATTTAGACATTTAGAAATCTAGACACCTCCTCTAGCTCTAAATTTAGACACTGAACTTCAGTGTCTAAAAATAAAGCTAGAGGAGGGGAAAAAACTATAAAAACAACTAAAAGTTGTTTTAAGTAACAATAGTTAAAATAACATAACAAGAAACAATTTTTAAAAGAACAAATCAACAAAATCTTTAATAAACTAGATATAAAAAATATATTTATCAAACTAAATAGGAAATAAATAAGTCATAATTACAGCAGTAACCTTTATTTTTTAAAACACCATTATATACTTTTTGTTTCAACTGAAGAAATGATGATGATGATGATGATGATGATGATGATGATGATGATGATGATGATGATGATGATGATGATGATGATGATGATGATGATGATTATCTATGGTAACACGACAAAAAACATTTGTTAAAGCAACCTCTTGCAAAAAAATAAATTCTGAAATGCAACCTACCAATTCGGTAAGTCAACACGTTATTTTTTTAAAATATTTACATTTGGTATTGTAACCTTCATGCAAAATAAATTTTCATCCTCTATTGAAGCTAGCAAAGTTATGTAATGAAGAGCTTTAAGATAAATCTAATATTTTTTTAGAAATATTTTCTACATATAATTTACAAGTATTTAATGTCATCATAGGTTTTATATGATATCAAGTAGATTTAATTTCTAATAAATTAGTACAATTTTTTGTTACAGTTAATTTTATATTTTTCCTTATATTAAATTCCCTATAAAAATCAGCCTGTGTTGCATAAAGTCTATGAAATAAATAGGAATTCACTGTAATTATTAATATAAATTGACAGTAGTACAAATTATACTAATTAATTTATTAGAAAGTATATCTACTTGACACCTTATGTCATAGAAGAATTAAATATAATGATGAACTTAATTCATGATAAAAAAAAAATTTTCTCCCCTACTCTTTTCAATCACTTTTCATTGGAAAGTCATTTAAAAAATTTATTTTATTCTTATCTATTTTATCAATTTCTGACTACCCGGTACTTATTAAGACCTATTCTAGTTTATTAGTTTCAAAGAAAAAAAAAAGTTTTAATATAAAATTAAGAACTACTGTTTGTCAAATGAGCTGGCTTGATTAACCAAAGACATTATACAAAGATAAGCATCTATTATACTATTATATAATTAAAAATTAATAATATAATTAAATAGAATTTAATTATTTATTTAATTTTACAGAGTTCAACACCAAAAATTATAAAAATTAACTAAAGCTGGTATTTTGAAAATACAAGCATTTTCTTCTTAAACATTTTCTCTTTTTAAATCAAATTCAAAATAAATATACTTTAGACGCCAAACAAACTGTGATCTCATTTTCTATGATTTATTAGAGTAATAAAATGAAATAGTGAAACCTCAGTTAAACCATAGTCGATAGAAATTATTCCGGGATAACTTCTAAGGGACAACTTCTATTGACTATGTTCTGTAAATTTTTAATTTTCATTCTGTAAATTTTTTTTGCACTTATTTTTGATTATGCGATATTTTTAAACAATAAGATCATTTTGTCAAAATATTTTATTTCCCACCCAGGGATAATTTCTATTGACTATGATATAATCAACTATTAGTAAAATAGAATTCTTAGTAAATAAAGAAAAGAAAAGAAAAAGATTGTTTAATTTTTTTTTGACTTTTCAATGAGAAATGATTGGAAAGTGTAGGGAAGTAAGGTCAAATTTAATTAATAGTAATATTATAAATTTAATATTATGTAAAAATCTAAAGAAAGTAATTCATTTTTAAATACTTTCCACTTATTGGAAAGTTGGAAATTTTCATTTGTCTTGACTTCAAACAATAAATATAGTTAAACATTTTCCAATATTTGAAACATTTAATTTACTAACACTTTCCAAAAACTACTTTCTGAAACTGGTTAGAAAGCGAAATCGAACACCTCTAATCAAAAGTAAACCTTTATTATTTTTGTTTTTTAAATAATAATATTTTAATTTAGTTTTTAGTTATATGTTAGTTTTTAACAATTTGTACAACCAGCTTTTACAATGATTAATTCGAAGATTCGGTTTTTTATATTTTTTATAAGATTTTTCAGACAAACCTTTAAAAAACCATTCTATGCTTGTTGGATAGAAGTTTTAAGTTCTTATATGACATACTGTCAAGAATTTCCATATATAGTTTGTGACAAAACTCTCGATAAATTTTGAATAGGTTTCAATCAGGTGAATGAGATGACCAATCTAAAACATGTGTATTTTTTTCCTGGAACCACAGTTTTACACCTCATGCCATGTGAATTGCTACATTATCTTGTTGGAAAATCCAATTTTCACCTTCACTAAACTTGATTTAAACATCCTCTAAAAGATCTGCATAATTTCTTGTATTCATTTTTATTGTAATAAAAGATATGGGAACTTTGCTCTGAAAACAAAATGCAGCCCACACCATAACTCTCTCCTCCAAAGTTATGACTCATTGTCAATTAAAACTATCAGGCCCATCAAAGTTAAACTTTTTTCATCCAAAAAAATAACAATTTCCTATTCTGTATCCTTGGTAAACTTAAATTTTGCACATTTATATTTTTTAGTCAATGGGTCATTCTGTACCATGTGGTGCAAATTTTAATGAGGTCCCTCATTAACCATCTCAGATTTTATCGAAATTTTTTGATTTTGTACATATATATGTGAAAAGCATGTTTTGAAAATTTTAGATCAATATCTAGTATGGTTCTTGATAAAACGCTATTTAACTAGTGGGCTATTTTGCATGAAATTTCACTCTACAAGAAAAAAGGGTTTTTTCATCATTTTTAACAGCCAATAACTTTTGAACAATTTAGTTTTATGCTTCAGTTAGTATTAGTTAGCAAGTGTGCTGTAGATACTTTGGAAAAAGAAAAAAATATAATTCTGGCATCTTAACTTTTTCCATAATGGCAGGCTAAAGTTGAGATTTTTGTTTTCAAAATAATTTTTTTTGTGATTTTAATGATCTTAATCTTAAAAACTAGTTAAAAGATTAATACAAATCAAATTGCAAGTCAAGTATTGCAAGGTTTGGATGCTCACCTCTCAAACTCGTTTCAAAAAAAGATAGAGTTGCATATGGATTAAAAGGCTGTTGCCAATGTGCTAGATTTAGAAATAGCTGCACTTGGTGGAATTGAATCAACCTCAAAAAAATGTTTGAAAAAAACAAACACAGATTTAGACAATATTATGACTCAAATTAAGTCAAAATTTGAAAAAACATTGTCAAATCCTGAAAAAATCACACTTCTTACACCCACTCCAGACAGTTGGTCAATAGAGAAAACTCAGAAGTATTTTTTGACTTCAAAAAGATCTGTAGTACAAGCCAAAAAATTAAGAAAAAAAAGTGGAATACTATCAAAACCTTCTCCAAAGCCGGGTAAAAAACTAAGCAAAGATGTAATTACAGAGGTTGTTCATTTCTATAAATGTGATGAATATTCAAGGGTTTGTCCAGGAAAGAAAGAGTTTGTTTCAGTTAAAGTAGATAGTATAAAGCAACACATACAAAAGCGACTTCTAATAGTTAATATGAAAGAGCTACATATTGAGTTGAAAAAGAAATATAATTATCTTAAAGTTGGATTTTCAAAATTTTGTGAGATAAGGTCCAAGTGGTGCATTCCTGTGGGTGGTGCTTCTGGTCTGCATGCAGTTTGTGTTTGCCAGTACCATCAAAATGTAAAGCTCCTCGTACAGAAAATTCCTGGAATTGCTGATTACAAAATCTTATTGAAATTAATGGTTTGTAGCATTGAAAATAGAGATTGTATGCTGCATAGCTGCGATAAATGTCCTGCTAAAGAGGGTTTTGTTAGATTACATTGACACTTTGTTTACAGAAAATGAAATTAGTGAAGTTAATTTTTATCAATGGCAAAAATCAAATTACCAATGTACTTTAGCACCAGCAACTTTACCTTTAGATGAATTTATTGAAATGGTTTATGAACAGTTAGAGCATCATTTTATATCAAAAAGTCAAGCCACCTACTACCAACATTTAAAAACTTATTTAAAGAAAATCAAGCTTTATTTCTTCTTGACTTTGCAGAAAACTATAGTTTTCTAATACAGGATGCAGTGCAAGGTTTTCACTGAAATAACAGCCAGGCAACTGTGCACCCCTTTGTTGCGTATTTTATAAAAGATGGAAAACTTGATAGTCAAAGTTATTGTGTTATATCAGATCATCTGAAACATGGAACAGATTCTGTTCATTGTTTTATTGATAAACTTAAACAATTACAAACATATTTTTAATTTGAACATATTATTTATTTTAGTGATGGAGCTGCATCACAATATAAAAATTACAAAAATCTTATCAACTTATCCTACCATAAACACAATTTTGACATGACTGCAGAGTGGCACTTTTTTGCAACATTGCATGGTAAAAGTCCTTGTGATGGTGTTGGTGGAATAGTGAAACGTCTTGTTGCACGAGCCAGTCTACAGTCACTTAACGATCCTATTGACACACCAAGTAAAATGTACAGCTGGTGTGTTCAACACGTCAAAGGAATATCTTTTTTTTTGTTGACAAAGTTTCAATAGAAACACATATTACAAACTTCAATTTGGAAGAGAGATATCGTTCTTGTTCTACAATACCTGGGACACAAAACCACCACAGTTTTATCCCAACGTCACTTACCTCAATAAAAATAAGAAGAGTTTCATTTGATAGTATTTGCACTAATGTGGATTTTTTTACTTGCAGAATTTTTATTAATAAAATTTCAAGTTACTCACCAGGAGAATATGTGGCCTGC